GTGTGCTCTTCCGATCTATATTCACCAATATTGACTCTCAATACTCAATATTCATCAACACTTAACCTCCATCAATACTTAAATATTCACCAATACTGACTTTCAATACTTAGTATTATAATCTTTGGTCCGTCATAAGCGCCATAAAATTATAAATGCGTCAATCATACACGATTCTGAGAGCGAAGATTTGAGAGAAACATCGGAGATGTTTATACATGCACTCACACATACAAAGGAGATCCTTTGTCCACGAAATTTATCTAATAAGTCAATATCCTGTTCGTGTATTCTTCCGCGCCTCGTTGTCGCCAACGCTACGTGGCCGATCTTACGTGTCGATCACGTGAACCAATAAAATTTAGGAAAGGGTGATTTTGATGATTATGAAGTGGAGGGTCGCTGTCGCTGGGCAAGCGATGAACTCGTTCATTCGTGTCGTAGACGAGCTAACGAAAGCATCTCGCAGTTAAACGTACGAAAGCATCCCGCATCTTTGATGCGAATCACGAATCGACGCGAGGACTCAGGGCGTTCTTTGCGTTCGCCCCCAGGCGTTATCCGAACACGACTCAGGGCAGTTTGTCTGCCCCTAAGCGCTGTCGTGATATAGTTATTCTTATATTCGATTCAAGATTTAATTATAATAAAACTTATATTTACGCAAAAACATGCGTGTGGATATTAATTTATCCCACCGATCTACAATCCAATCTTAATACTAAGTATTAGAACCTCAATACTAATTGTAAGTATTGAGCCTCAATACTTATTTTCCGTAAGGGGTATGATCTCATATTTGTTTTTGGACAATTTTTATTTGTTAAAATAATATTTTTGGTTTAGGAATTAATTTTATCCAAATCTTCTTTATTTAAAAATGGCACGCAACAAACTTTTATGTGTCATTTCTCGCTGTTTCTCGCTTATGACGTCACGAGTCCAATATGGTCGCGGTGACTAGGCAGGGCCCTTAACAAAAAATCTTATGTTTATATTTTAAATACACAAATATGCTGTTAGAAGAATCTTACTGAATATTGTGATTATACATAACAATACTCATATTTCAACAAAAGCAATTTTTGAATGATAAAATTTCAAATAAAAAAATAGATCGCATAAATCTTGTTTCTTGCTTCATAGATATTTAAAAAAAATAAAAATTATTTGAATGTATTTATATAAATAAAGAAATATATGTATATGTAGATTATTTTAACAAAATACCGTTTAATTTATATGCGACAAAGAAATTCAGAAGTTTTCTAATTACAGTATTTTTTAGTAGCAGAAATATAAATATTCCGCTGATATAACTATATAAATAATTATTTCCCTACACTTATTCCCTACCTAACATGTTTCTCCCCTCTCCTTATTCCCGACTCGTTTCCTTTATTTTGTCCTTAATATTCCTATCATCCTTTGCCGACAGCCTTACCGCAGACGATCACAAATTTTAATATTTGACGTTTTTCGTGACAATCATAGAGATTTGACTTCTTGACTTAGTTTTCCATGCCGTTCTTTTGTCGCCTCACAGATTTTCATTTCATTTTATGTGCTTTTAATTTCTCTCTATTTTTACTACTTTTTTTAACTTTTTAATTTTTATTTTTATCCATTAACTTTTTAAGCTTCTTGTTTTTACATTTTTTTAATTTTATTAACGTTAACTTCACACTTATTTATTCCTTTTAGATTGATAATTAATTTATTTGTTGTTCTTTTTGCCGGTCAATTTCATAGTTATGTTATTTTCAATCTAAATTATATTTCGATATGGTGACATGAGGAGAGCCTACTAGAATGTTACTTCGACTGTAAATTTGCGTCAGTATAAAACACCAATCGGCATTATGGTCTCCAACTCTCGTCTCTTTGCAATTGGCGGCTTTCCGGATTAGAACTCTATCGTTCGAACATTAATTTTTAAGTTTTGTGGTATAAATATTTTATCTTTCGTAATTATTAATTTGCGCTGAAGAAGACTTGAACGAAAGCGTTCGCTCATGTAGCATATATATTTTTGTATCATTATATCTTATGTTTATATAAATTGTTTTACGCATGAACATCTTGTAAGGCTGACATGCTCTTTTATTATTTTATTTATTTATAAATAATTATCTAAATAATATCGATAACAATTGTTTAAATAAATAATAACACTAACATAAATATAATTATCCAAATATTAAAAATATTAAAAAATAAATCTGTACATATACCAGAGTGTCCGGTAATTCTCGTGTACAGATAGAATAGACTAAATTAAGTCAAAAAGTACCATTTTGCAAATCTTGCAATGGTTAATGAAAAATAATAAAGATTTGCGAATCCGCGCAATTTGACGACAAGAGACCTCTGGATTGCGTTCAGAAACTTTGCCCAGGTACATCTAAATTAGTTCCTTGACACTGGCTGCTTCCAGTGGCTACGTAATGTCGCTGTGGCGTTAACAACATTCAGTTCGGTCATATATGTATGTATACATAATGCTGCGAGTGTATTCACAATACTACTTTACACTCTTCAGTTGTACTTTGCACAACTAAACTTTCAGAATATGTACTGAATGTTGCCACCGCCATCTAATGATTTGGCGACATTAAGTAATCACAAAAATACTGGGGGATATATGAGACAGTGTCAGAGGGCTGATATAGATATCATTTTATCCTTATTTAACCTTCAAATAGTACACTTCTTTCGAGCATCCACTAATATAGATATAATGGAACAATGGTGCGAATTTGGATTTGATATCTTAAATTGTACATCTTTCTTGAAGATAAAAACAGAAATGTTTTGAAAACTCTACTTTTTTGGGATAAAATTTTCTCACAAATCCAGCGGTATTACTCAATTTAATAAAAAAACTATTTAATAATTGAAAATTAATTATAAATAAGTTACCGTTTTGAAAAACATCACTTTTTCGAAGCTGCCATTTTTTTGTTATTTCATGAAATAAAGTGCATGCGTGATTCTTTAGTTAAAATGATGTACTTTAATAAAAAAATTGTTGCAGAAATAGAAAGTAAAATATTTTTCCACATAGCCAGAAGTTGGGATATTTTCTGTTCAATTAACAGTAATTAAATCTTTCTAATAAATCTTTCTAAAAATAATTTCAATGAAAATTATGTATTTTAAGAACAAATCTTGTCAATTTATAAAGTGAATTAATAATAAATACCGTTTATATAATTAAAATTATATTAAAAAGTACTGTTCATGTTATTATGGAAGTTAAGACAGAGAAAACAGATGGAATAAGATTATACATACAAATGTTTTATTTGTTACTATAATGTAAAAAAAGGAACATATTACAATGTTTATAAATATGTAAAACGCTAAAAGTAGGCATCGAGCTGGCACACACTATTTGAATACAAATGCGAATATGCACCACAACGAACTTGCGAAGTTAATATTTCGTCAATTTGCACGAAATTGAAGTTGTGCATATTCGTACCTGTCACCTGAGGTACCGGGCATATTTAACGTAGTGGGGATAAGCCATGATAAATGTCTCTGTGCAGATGCCACCAATTCGAAAATTTTCGCGATGCGAATTCGCACTCTTGTACCATTTGAAGGTTAACATTCGGCGAAAACAATAAAATGATGTACCGTGAATTCCTGAACACACCTGTTTATAGTCACTAGGTGCGCCGCGAGAAAAAACTTGGGAGAAACGCTCTGTAAAGCGGCGTCTACAATGAGATTTAAGGCTTAAGATTTAAGAAAATTGACCAATCATAGTGGATTATTCATCTCACGTAAGAAAAATAAACGATTGTGATTGGTCAATTTTCTTAAATCTTAAGTCTCATTGTAGACGCCGCTTAAATAATATGATGCTCGTGCCACTGTTTTTTATAGAGCGTCCCTTCCACTGCCACGCCGCTTCCCTAGAAATCGTAAACCGAACACTCTGTATATAGAAAAAATCGAGAAACCATTTAAATAAATGATTCATTAAAAATAAATTTAAACAATTAAGAAGCTTTTACCAATCTACTTACTTGTACATTGTTTAACTCATCTTCATATCGTCTAAGACGGGAAACTTCTGTCTTCAAATTTTCTATTTCTGCTGTAGCAGCTTTTAAATGATGTGTTTTTTCTTCTACTTCTTGCTCTTTAGCCAACAACTAGAACAAATCGTTATAATCTTAATTTAGCTCGTTTCAATTAATAAAATATAATATATACATCCAAATATGATAATTATAATTATATACAGAATACTGCAAAAATTATGGTACGATTGAAAAAACAGACAATTTTTTGTACAAAAATAAATCTAATTTTATATAATAAAATATAATTTTATCATATAAAATTCCACATGGTTATTTAAAAAATTTTAAAATTAGTAAGGCTTCTAAATTTGATTTTTAAGAACATCAAATTACATTATTGTTAAACTCGCTAGTAACTATAAATAAAAATAAATGTTATAACATTAATTAAAATTAAAATTAAAAAATATACAAGATGTTTCCGATAAACTTGAAGAAGTGTTAAAACTCATTAAATTAAATAATTTTGTTAAGTAATCCGTGTGCTGCAATGGTTTCTTAAGGCGCAACTCCATTGAACATTGTAGATGATTGCGCACTTCTCACTTCCGATATAAGACACCCAAAAATCAACAGGATAATGAATGCATATGATGTGATTTGCAATACTCCTGGAACTTTCCAGAGAGTGCGTCAATCAATGTACCGAGGCAATGCTTGTAATGAGGTTACAAATCATCATTTCGATTATTTGTTGTAATAAAATAAACAAAATAAAGTTAAAACACGATTTTTTATTCTAATTTTACAGAAATCAAACAGCGTTCAACAAGACTAAAAATTGACACCTAGTGCCTAGTAAGGCATTATTATAGGACATCAGTTACTCAACAAAAATTGTTCAATTTTACAAGATCTCTTCTCTTTTAAGGGGACAGGATTTGAAATAAAGATTTTTTAAGCTTACATTGCAAAAAAAGTATAAATACGATCCACTTGTAATTTGACACTTTATTAACCTTCAAATGGTACACTTCTTTCGAGCACCCACTAATGGAACAATGGTGTGAATTTGGATTTGACATCTTAAATTGTACATCTTTCTTGAGGATAAAAACAGAAATGTTTTGAAAACCTCACTTTTTGGGGGGTAAAATTTTCTCACAAATCCAACGGTATTGCTCAATTTAATAGAAAAACTATTTAACAATTGAAAATTAATTATATATGAGTTACCGTTTTGAAAAACGTCACTTTTTCGAAGAAAAGTTGCCATTTTTTTGTTATTTTATAAAATGAAATAAAACTTGCGTGATTCTTTAGTTAATATGATGTACTTCAATAAAAAATTATTGTTGTTGCACAAATAGAAAGTAAAATATTTTTCCACATAGCCAGAAGTTGGGATATTTTCTGTTCATTTAATAGTAATTTGAATCTTTCTAATAAATCTTTCTAAAAATAATTTCAATAAAATTTTTTAAGAACAAATCTTGTCAATTTATAAAGTGAATTATTAATAAAAACTGTTTACGTAATTAAAATTATATTTAAAAGTACTGTTCATATTATCATGGAAGTTAAGACAGAGA